AGCTTCCTGCTAATGGCAGATCATGAGAGATGATAGGGAAGGTTCAAGTAATTGAGTTCCTGCCATTCACCTAGAAGACTTGATTGCATTCCCAGCTCCTGGCTATGGCCTTGGCCCAGACCTGGTCATTGCAGGGATTTATGGAGTGAACTAATGGGTGGGAGTCTCTCTCTCTCTCTCTCTCTCTCTCATCCTCAAATAAATAAAGTATTATTTTATTTACCTGTGTTTTTATTAAAATTGAAATCATTCTGTGTTCATAAGATGCCATATTGGTAATATATATGTCTACCATTTTTTTTTGACAGGCAGAGTTAGACAGTGAGCGAGAGAGACAGAGAGAAAGGTCTTCCTTTTCTGTTAGTTCACCCCCTAAATGGTCGCTACGGCCAGTGTGCCGTGGCCAGCGTGCTGCACCAATCCGAAGCCAGGAGCCAGGTGCTTTCTCCTGGTCTCCCATGCGGGTGCAGGGCACAAGCACTTGGGCCATCCTCCACTGCCTTCCCAGCAGGAGCAACCAGGACAGAATCTAGCACCCCAACAGGGACGCCAATTGCGGGGTGCTGGTGCAGCAGGCGGAGGATCAGCCAAGCAAGCTGCAGCGCCGGCCTATATAACACTTTTTTCAAGATTTTATTTATTTATTTGAGAGGTAGAGTTACAAACAGTGAGAGGGAGAGACACAGAGATAGGTCTTTCATCTGCTGTTTCACTCCCCAAGTGGCCTCAATGGCTAGAGCTGGGCCAGTATGAAGCCAGGAGCCAGGAGCTCCTTCCAGGTCTCCCAGGAGGTTGCAGGGGCCCAAGGATTTGGGCCATCTTCTACTGATTTCCCGGGCAATAGCAGAGAGCTGGATCAGAAGTGCAGTAGCCAGGACTCAAACCAACACCCATATGGGAAGCTGGCACTGAAGGCAGTGGTTTTACCTGCTATACCACAGTGCCAGCCTGTGTGTTACATTCTTTACAGACATTTTCTCATTTAATCCTCTGAACAATCCCTTTGAAGTAAGTACTGTTATTGTTCTATTTTTTGTACCTGAAATACAAAAAAGTTCAACAATTTGCCTGAGAACTCATAGCCTGGGGGAAAAATGATGACTCAATAGGCATCTACACTGAATTGAACGTTGGTGCTCTGCCCCCAAATTCATATGTTGAAGTCCTATCCTAATGTGATGTTACTTGGGGGAGTAGTCTTTGGGAGGTGATTAAACCATGAAGGGAGAGCTCATGAATGAGATCAGTGCCCTCATACAAATATAAGAAAGAGGTTCACTCTCTAGGCTGTCTGTCATTTGAGGATACAATGGAAAGATGGCTGCCTCGAAACCAGATGATGGCCCTCACCAGGACCCTGAAATGCTGATACCCTTATCTCCGCAATGGCCAGAGTTGAGCAGATTTGAAGCCAGGATCCAGGATCTTCTTCTGGATCTCCCTTGCACATGCAGGGGCTCAAGGACTTGGGCCATCTTCTGCTGCTTTCCCAGGCCATAGCAGAGAGCTGGATTGGAAGTTGAGCAGTCAGGACATGAATTGGTGCCCATATGGGATACTGGTGCTGCAGCTGGAGGATTAACCTACTGTGCCACAGCACAGGCCCCTATAGATCTAAATGTTAATAGCATGAGGTGATTGGACTTTTAAGCAATTCAAAACAAATTATTATAAGAAAGTTCTATGGATTATCAGTAAAGGTATCAAATTATTATTTTAGCTTTTTATGTATCATTTGATCTTTTCCTAAAACATATTCCCAGATAAAACAAGCACATGTCCTCTAGTTGCCTTGGAATCAGTCTATATTCCATTTACTCAGTGGCTACTGAGATCTGCTTCTATGCCTCCTGGGCCTGGTCGGTGGCAAATTAGTGGTGTTCAAATATTAAGTGCCATTATTTGACAAAAGCAATTCAGATTTCATTTGTTTACATACCTCCCATGGTGCTTATGGGAAGCAAGCAAATACCTCCCCTCCCACCTGCACTCCAGGTGCTACTGAGAACAGGCATGTTTTCCTCCAGCAGACCACACAATTTTTCTAAATTTATCCTCTCAAGAGGTTTTCATGTATAGCAAGCACCCTGCAATGGCTCAGCAATGATTTTGGGATTTCCTCCGATTACACCATGTTGTCTTGGGGCTTAACACAAACTTGATGCCAGCAACGCTTCAGTATCTAGGTGAAGAGATGCATGCAGTTTTACCTCTGGTGGTGGGGGGAAAAAGCAGCTCCTGGGAAAGATGCAATGGGAATGCAAATGGTGTGTAAGCACCCATTCATGGTTTGCCAGCACTCAGGGTGACAGGAGGGCATTCTGAAAGGGAGCTGGAGTACAATGAATGCCTGAAACAATTTGTTTTTCCTATCTGCTAATTTTTTCCTTCCTTCTCTTAGAAACCAAACTTTGAAGTTCCATAAACTGTTTCATAGTAGTTATCCATAGCATACCCAATGTGATGCCCACATTGGAAAGGAGACTTGAGTCCATCTTGTGACATTCTTTGCATTGCTATGATGAACCCAGGTTGTCTGCATTCTCTCCACCATGTGAATTTAGTCTTCAGATGATGCTACCAGAGCCATTTGTATGACATCTCATAATGAGAGTCAAGGAGAAGTTTGGCACCTCTGGATTTCAAAGGGCATACTCTAACCTACCACCCAGCTGTCTTTTCGTAAAGAACTTCACTGGAGAAGAATCAGAAATGGAGAAGCAACACTGTTAGGCTGCTGAGGCACATTAGTTTGGCTGGAGCCAATCTTACTCCACTGAAATACTTCTGCACTCACTGAATACTAGCATCTCCATGTTTCCTGAATGTTCCACACCAACTGAGCCATGTAGGACCCCTGGGCCAGATCCTCCTGTGATCTAAATCAAGGATTAATCATGGTCATGGCAGGAGGCCTCTGGCACCCTGTGAGGACTAACATTGTTCCATTTTGATTAACTGGCTTTCACAGTTATTACATTTTTTTTAATATAACTTCTGTAGAGAGGGAACAAGATATACGCAACTTAGATGACTCATCTCAGAAGTTTATTACTTCCTCAGAGTGCCTGGAGTCACTAAGAGTTTGAATCCACCAGGGTTGCCAATGCTGCAAGTTTCAAATCCTCTACCTTCTTTAATCAGTTGAGATAAGGATTTTCCAGTTTCCACACCAAACTTATGCAGTGCATGACCAGATACTGGCTCTGAGGATCGTTATGCTTACTTCTCAGGGCATCTCCTTTGCCTGAATGGTTCTGCAGCTCCAGTGTAGACAACAGCAGAGCAGTGTGGCAACATCGTGAGAGGCCAGAGCCTCACACATGATCTGCTCCAGCTCCAGCTGTGCAGTGTGACATTTATGTGACAGCTTGTCTGCTTGCCAAGATGAATCACAGAAAATTAGAGATGGGAAAGACCTATTAGGTCATCTAATCCATACCCCTGCCAGTTCACAACTCCTCCCCTATGCTCTATTTCCTAAAGTATCACCAGTTTTTAAATAGTGTAGGACACAGAGAGTTCTTCCAGGCCTTCTTCACCCAGAATTCTACAGCACACTCAGTCAAGTGCTTGGTATTTCATGTTTCTTTACCCTAATTTTTCATGTAAAATATTGTCCTGGTTACTTGCTCAAATCCTACCACCACCTCCCCACAAAAGAACCCTGAAAATAATCAGAAAGTAGGAACTCTCTCTTAGCTGGGGAAAAAAAAAAAAAAAAAAAAAAAAACACACCAGTTGCAGAAAAATCAAAAGACCTAGTACAGAAAAAAAAAAGAAAAGGGAAATGAAAAGGAGAGCAACTGTTACCTCATTTCAACTTCTGTTATTTTAAATACATGCTAATTTAGCATTGTTGGGCTTTTGCTTTCTTTAACAATAGCTAGAGCTATGACTAAGCAGTATTGTTGGTTTTAATTTCCACATTTACTTTATTTCAACACTTATATTTTAACAAATTTAGTTTACAAAAATCATATAGCCTCAGGGTGTACAATATGGTTAGTTCATATATGCATGCATTAAGTATTAAGCATATAATTTAATCACTATAATCAAATTAATTGATGCATCCAACACCACCCACAATGTTTGTTAGATCCAAGAACTTTCTGTGGGGAGCAACTCGGACTAGACTAAGTTACTGGAATTAAGACTTATTCTATGCATCTGCTCTCCCACAATATGGCACTGGGAGAGGAGGAAACAGCTTCTACACAGCTGCCTCTCGCCAACTTGAGTGATGACCTCCAGGAGCTGATCTTGCTCCTGATTGGAGGAGAGCAGCGTACTCGGCGTACTCGGCGTGTGGGTAGCAGAGTTGGGATTGGTGGAAGAGGACTATAAAGGAGGAGAGAGACAACATGCACCAGGAACACCTGAGGAACATCTGAGCAGCCCCCGAGAGAGCCGGCCAGCGGTGTGCCACTCCCCCGTGGAAGTGGGGAAAGTGGCAGGGGGAACCGCCCTTTCACGGAGGTGGAGGGACGGTAGCCAACCCGGGAAGAACCAGCAGCAAACCCGGGAAGGGCCGAGCAGACAAAAGAATAGCGCAGGGCCCTGTGTCGTTCCTCCGCGAAGAGGGGGAGCGACATAATGGTGCCGTGACTCAGATAGGAAACCTAGGCAGGGTTTAGTGTCGTTCCTCCACGAAGAGGGGGAGCGACACTTTCTTTAATAATATCTGAAATGATGACTAAGCAGCATTAGTGGTTTGGGTTTATTTACTTGTGTTCCGATTTTTTATTTGATTATCATCCCCTTGCTGCCTATATTATGTTTAAGAATCCTAATCCATCACTAAGATTCAAATTAAAACTGTTCTGAATATGCTGAGTTTAACTATTCTGTTTCTTATGCTTTGTTTATCTTTACAATTTTAGCTAAACAGAGCAAAAACAGTAAGCCTGGAACACCCTATCTAGACAGTCTTGTATAACAAGAATGTCCTTGTTTTCCTTTACTAATGCACAGACACAAACACATGTGTAGCTTACCTTAATCTGACCCTTTAAACAAGGCTCACTGCACACAGACCGTACAACTCCACTCTTATTCATCTGGATTTTGTAGTCATCAATGTTCAGGACACCTTCATGCCAGGTTCCAACATGCACATAGTCATAGCGATTGGCTTCTGTATACTGAAGATTCATAATATCATACCTACAAAGAAGACAGAAAACTTCCCATAGGATATGGACATTATATAAAGACAAAGAAATTTGATAAATAGATTGTTAGTAGAAATTAAATAGATGCTGGTATCCTCAGATATACAAATTCCAGTCTCAATAAGTATTTTAGTTTATCACTAATATTTCCTTTGGTTTTCCAGAAGGTGCATTCATTTCCCTTTCTCTGTGTGTCATTCATATTTACTAAAGAAAATGTTACTCTTGTAACTTTCTCTGTGGCCATCCTCCAAAAAATAATTCTAAGTGTGTTGAGTTGATCATCTTCAAATCATTATTCACTATAGCAATCATTCAAAAAGTAACAATTCATGAGAACATTAATTTCTTTGATTATTTTTGTTTCAAATTTCTTTTCTGTGTTTTTGCTACAGTGGATTAAAAAAGGACAGTTTTCCAAGTCTGGCAACTTTTTTTGATGCTAATAGAGCAAGAAATATGAACAAAGCATCTTTAATTAGTAAGGATGTTGGTAATTTAACATCTTATTCATTGACATTTTTTTTTTTTTGACAGGCAGAGTGGACAGTGAGAGAGAGAGAGACAGAGAGAAAGGTCTTCCTTTTGCCGTTGGTTCACCCTCCAATGGCCGCCGCGGCCGGCGCGCTGCGGCCGGCGCACCGCACCGATCCGATGGCAGGAGCCAGGAGCCAGGTGCTTTTCCTGGTCTCCCATGGGGTGCAGGGCCCAAGCACCTGGGCCATCCTCCACTGCACTCCCTGGCCACAGCAGAGGGTTGGCCTGGAAGAGGGGCAACCGGGACAGAATCCGGCGCCCCGACCGGGACAAACATTTTTAAAAGGAAATAATAATTGTCTATTATTTCAGTGATTTTAAATGTCAGAATGCTGCACAAGGGTTGATTCTATAACTAGAACATTTTACTACAGTAATGCTGTCACTGTACATATACACATATTATTTCATAAACATATATACATATAACTTCATTAGTGTGCAAACATTTTTGAAATCCATGCATATGTGGGGTCTTCAAAAGTTCATGAAAGGGCATATTATGAAAAAAAATACTATGTAAAATATTTTTGCACCAAAATAAACATACATTTTACTTCTATTCTCATACATTTTTAAATATGTATTTTGAAAGATAAAGTTACAGAGAAAGAGAGACCGAGAGAGATATCTTCCATCTACTGGTTCAGTCCCCAAATGGGCGCAAAGGTCAAGGCTGGGCAGATCTGAAGTCAGAGCCAGGAGATTTTTCTGTGTCTCCCATGTGGGTGCAGAGGCACTTGGGTAGTCCTCCACTGTTTCCCCAGGAGCATTAACAGGGATCTGGATCAGAAGTGGAGCAGCTGAGACTCAAACCAGCTGCCTGCACTGTAGACTGCAGCTTTACTTGCTACGCCACAGTACAAGCTGCTTCATGGATTTTTTAAAACATGTACATATATGTGAATGTGTGTGTGTATATATTTTTATATATACATACATATAAACATCATATGGTACCTCACACACATGCACACACACACATACACACACTGGAAAATCTTTGCTGCATCCACAATGTACTCCTCATCTTTGCAGGGCAGGCATTCTCCATTCTAATGGACAGGACACATGACTTGACATCAGAATGTTTGATTTGGAGTCTTTGCTAGCATTTAATGATAGATTATGCTACTTGGAATTATCACTAAACTATTTAGGCCTTATGGAGTTCTCATGGGTAATATAAGGCTTGTAAGGTTAAGATGGCATTTGGGACACTTGTGGTCCACCTACGATTGCCTAATCTAGATTTCTGGCTGTTTCCAATTCCAGCACCCTGCTAATGTGTACCCTGGGAGGTGGCACATAATGGTTCAAGTACTTGGGTCCCTGCCACCCATGTGGGAGACCAAGATTGAGTTACTTGCTCTTGGCTTTTGCAGTCTCAGTCCCGGCTCTTGTTGATATTTTGTAGTTATTTGGAGAGTGAACTAGAAGTTGGAAGAGATATATCTCTCCCTCTCCCGCATTCTCAGTCTTTCAAGTAAATAATCAATTAATTAATTTTTAAAAATAAACCATATAAGAAACTATTTTGCAATTGATACAAATGCACTTGTTTTCTGGTCTAAATGTTTGTGTATCTACCAAATCCCATTAATGAAAATCCTTACCCCCAAAGTGATGGCAATAGAAGGTGAGGTCTTGGGAGGTGATTAAGTCTTCAGGACATAGCCCTCAGGAATGGGATTAGTGCCCTTGAAAGAATGCCTAACAGAGCTCTCCCGCCCAGTTAACCACATAAAGACAGACAGTGCCACACACGAACCACAAACTAGGCCCTCACTAGATTCCAAATCTGCTAACTTGCTCTTAATAATAAATTTTGGGGGTTTATAAGCCACATAATCTATGGTACTTTGTTATAGCCACCCAAAATGACTAACAAAATATGAGGGACTATCACAATGATATTCAGTATTAATGTGAATGCCCTTAACTATTCTGTTTATTTCTCTTATTATAAAAAGAGTGGACAACATTTTTGTGGTGGCACAGCCATTTGTCTCTCAGTTACTGGAGACTCTGATAGTCTTGCATTTTATTTGCATGTTACTATTTACTTTAAGTGAACTATAACTCATGTGCTGGTTTCCTAAAACTCTATGCCTGGTGCCCCCTGCCTGGCTCTGCAAAGTGAGCTTCTTTTCTGCAGTACCTGTGCAGAGTTCTCATCCTCATGGACTAGAGTAGGAGTCATGGCCTCTTGTTCTTTGCACATAAATGAAGAAACTACATGACAATTAATCAAAATACACACATTCCTCTTCCTGAGCCCCCCTTCCCCACTCATGATCCCCATTCCCCTGTGCAATCCATGCTGGAATTCTCCTCTCTAAACTGGTTCAGACCCACAGTTCTCACCCTGCACTCCAGGAAACTACTCCCAGTCAGTGCAAGTCGGCTTCTGAAATCTAGTAGCCTACTTGTTTCGACCAATAATATAAGCTTGTTGGCTTTTCTGCCTGTTTGTTGTGTGAAAATTATCCTGTCGGCCACAGGACAGCTGGTGGCTTCTCCACATCCAGACTCTTGCAATTTCTACAAATATCTGTACCCTAAAGGGAAGATGACTTTGGGAGAGTCAAAGAAGTTTCACTGTTCCTGGTGAACAAAACTTACTAACATGGTGCACCTGGAGCATAGAATTCATGTCTTTGCTTTCCTGACTTTGAGCTAACAGAGTCACTATCCTTCTTGTTACTGAGATATTGCAGAATATTCTTCAGAAGAGCTCTGTTAGTAATATCCAAGTGGATAGTAATCGTGGACCAATGACTGACACTCATCCTGAGATCAATGACTCTGATATACTACACCAATATATTTCCATTTTAAAATCATCATGGCTGTAGAATTTGTGAATGTTAATGATGAGTAGCTTTCCTATTTGTTTCCATTAATTTTTGTGTTTTACTTGATATTACAATATCACCACTCTTTTCATACTTCCAATGAAAGCTTTGCTGCAACGCTAGATTTAGAATAACTTTTTCTTATAAATCATTTTCCTAAGAGTTTTATTTCAACCTCATTATTTGGTCTTTCTTAGAGGAAATCAGTTCACACTTCATTAGCATTTAGAGACTAAAAAATTCACAATATTTTTGTATGAAAGCACATTTTTAAAAAGCACCAAAAACTGGAGAAAAAATAAATGCTTAAAGATACCAAGGGAAAAATATTGACTTACTGAAAAGAGGCTGCCTTGTACTATGTGCATTAATGAATGTTGGTCTTTTCTCTTGACCCCAGAGTCTCTTTCTGACATGTCAGCTTTATTTCAAATATCCTCATGCTGTAAATTACATCTTCACAGCATCCTCGCAATGCATTCAGTTTATGTTGTGTGATGATTAACTAAAATAATCACAAGAGGGACCAAAGGCTTGCATGATGATGTGACAGGAGATGTAAGTAGAGGGATGTGATTGAAACAGGAATTGGACACAGATTATGATGCCTGATTTCAAGCAGGAGGAAATGATCCTTGAAAAGAGACTCAAGGGAAAGCTCATAATTTGCATATGTAATTAAAGATGAAAGAGAAACAAGCTAAATTTGTGCACTTACATTTTTGCATAACTTGACAAGAGAGTGAGGAGGAGGAAAGTTGTATTTATGGAGTGTCGAAAATGCATCTAGCCATGAGCTAAGCATGTTTTGCATGTTTGCTTTGGGAATCATGAAGGAAGGTTTACATTGCAAATCCAACCCCTTTCTAGCCCTAGTTTCAAGTAGAACTGAGGATTACAACTATGGGTTCAAAGGGGTGGGTGACTCAGTCACAGACTCACTTGTTCCTTCTGTACCATTTCTTAAGGTGTTCAGTGCCCTGAAGCATTGCACTTGACAGGTGCTGGATTATCCATCCATCCCACTCACATTCCAATCAAAACATGCTCCCACCTAAGTGGTAACTTGGAAAGACTCTGATAAATTCATCATTTTAATTACTGATAATGAATTATGTCACATACATTTTAAAGCCATTGGATGTTTCAGGGAGAAGCCACTGAGTTCCCACAAGGGACTCTCTAAAGGTACATTATGTATAAATCAAAAGATGAGATCTGCTGAGAATTTTTTAGGATCAGCCTCTTACAGTGCTTCTGAAATGGCATTTAAAATGTTGCCAAGGGCCAGTGTTGTGGTATAGGGGGTTACTCCGCTGTCTCTGATGATGGCATCTCATAGGGGCAGCAGTTCAAGTCCTAGATACTCCACTTCCAACCTGACTCCCTGATAATATGCCTGGGAATGCAATAGAAGATGGCCCAAGTACTTGGGCTCCTGCACCCACATGTGGGACCCAGATGAAGCTCCTGGTTCCTTGCTTTGGCTTGACCCAGCCCTGGTTCTTGTGGTCATCTGGGGAGTGAACCATTGGATGGACGATATTCTCTCCCTCTCTCTCTCTCTCTCTCTTTCTCCATCTGTAGCTCTGCCTTTCAAATAAATAAATTTTCAATGAAGAAGAAGGTTGTAGGCAATGTTGCTAATTCTAGGAATAGCTAAAAGGCAGCGTAATGTGGTGAAGATCCCAAGCCTTAGAGTCAGACTTCGCTGTTCATCCACTTGCTCTCTGTTGTGATTTCGAGTTTCTTAGTTTCTCTGATGCTGTTTTATTAGCTGTAGCAGAAGGATAATGATACACCTCAAGTAGTAAGGATTAAATGATTCTGTCTTCTTCTACTGTAACATAACGTATACTTTCTTAAAAAAGCTATAACCCAGCAAAATCACAGGCTAAAAGATAACATGGCTGACAAGATTGTGGGCACATTGATCAGCAGCCAAACAGGAAATTTTCCTTTCTGCTACAGGTTTTTCTCATTCCCGTCCTGCCACTCTGATTATCCCTTTCCTGGGAAAATGTGTATGCATGAACACAACTATTCTTGATACTGACATCATTCTCTGAGTATCAATTATGTATGAGCTAACTGTTGGTATTGAAACAAGTATTGCAGAATAAACAATCTTTATGTAAAATGACTTAAAGGGAATATTTAGGTTATGTTTTTCTTTGCTTCTTGGTTAATTCTATGAAGCCATACAGATTTAATCTCAGAAATAAAATCCTCCTCTTTTTCCCAAAAGTTATGTTAACAGAAATATGACTTAGCCAGAGAAAATGGGGCACAAGGGTAGGGCTTGGCTTTCTTCACGTACTAAGTTCTTTAATCAGATACAATATTCAAAATGGTTCATGACTAAAATAGTACTGTGACCAATCAATCAGATCATTCAATACATCTGCAAACCAGGTTTTTTTGTTTTGTTTTGTTTTGTTTTGTTTGTTTGTTTGTTTGTTTTCGTTTCCTGGGATTGCAGCAAGGTTCCAGGCACTCTGATTAAGAGCTGAGTAATATCTGGGGAAGGGGGTGGTAGCACAGGCAGAAGTGAGGGTTCCAGGTGTCTACTAAGAAGCATTTCAATCTTTTAAAAAGCAGAGGTATTTGGTAAATTTCATGTATTGTCAGCCCTTATTTTGAGCTGTCTAGTTTTAACTGATTCTCACAACACCCAGAAACCATAGAACTAAATGGAGCCATAGTTGCCTTCTGCCTGGCTCAGGAGGCTCACAAGGGTATTCATACCCAATACTGACAAGACTGCTTTACCTGCCAGGAGCATCACCTTTCTCGTCAAACCACACCTCCTCTCCAGACACGCCAATGAAAGAGGACTTGATGAGGAAGTCCAGGAGTTTGCTGCCGTCAATGGGCTTCATGGCATCACAGAGGCCCACATGGCCAGGGCAGAGGGCATGGTGCATGTTCTGCAGACCATGGGCCATGGCATAGATGGCATTGATGACAAACCCCATCTTACTGTCTTGGACATAGTTTTCTTCTAAGCTTTCATTGCCTGTAAAAATAAAAACAGATCACTACCAAGGTCACAAGAATGAAGATGAGACCTGCATGTTTAATTCTCAAATATTTTTCAGGGCTCTCAGAGGGAATGGAACATCAGAGACATCGGCAAAGAACAAGCCTGCCTGTGCAAGCTTTGTACTTGTGACTAGCTGTGGTGAATTCTATTTGAAAACAGTTCATTCGATTTCATATTCTTTATTCAATCATGGTTTTATGAGGTATGAAACAAACTCTATAGAGGTGAAAATGAAGAACTTTAAAGTACTGTAAGGAAATTCTTAAGGAGCCATGGAAATAAACTCTTATTCCCTCTTGATTCTCAGGGACTTACATTAAAAAAGAGACTTTTTATTTCATGGTATTAGAAAAGCATATTTTGTATCTTCCAAGATAATCCACAATTCATGGTAATTCAACTTCTGAACTATCTAACACCTGATATTTGTGTTTGATGATTCCTTTTTTTTTATCTGTGGGGCCACAGAAACCCACTTAGAAGAAGGACTATGTAGTCTAGATTTATTTATGTCTAAAATTGAAAGTGCAGAATTACTTAAATCAGACTTCATAATTATTAGAAATCAGGGTAAAATGTTACTCAATGGAAGAGTCATACCACACATTAATTTTAGCTTTTAGTTTTTTTTTTTTATTATTATTTGACAGGTGGAGTTACAGACAGTGAGAGAGAGACAGAGAGAAAGGTCTTCCATCCGTCGGTTCACCCCCTAAATGGCCGCTAGGGCCAGCGCTGCGCCGATCCGAAGCCAGGAGCCAGGTGCTTCTTCCTGGTCTCCCATGTGGGTGCAGGTGCCCAAGCACTTGGGTCATCCTCCACTGCCCTCCCAGGCCACAGCAGAGAGCTGGACTGGAAGAGGAGCAACCGGGACTAGAACCCGGCGCCCATATGGGATGCCAGCACCACAAGGCGGAGGATTAACCAAGTGAGCCACGGTGCCAGCCCCAGCTTTTAATTTTTAACCCATGGATTTCAAAACCCTGCAATCCTTTCTACCTATGCCACAGGTGCATATACATTTCCTAATTGCCAAGCAGTTGCACAAGAACAATATTGAGTTGGATGTAAACTCAATGTATTGTCAGGATAAACATTAGGGCTGACATATGGATGCAAAACTGGGGGACCAGTTGGGTTGCTGAAACAAAGGTAACAAGCATGGAAAACAGAACAATTTGGAGCACAGCATTGGCATAACTCAGAGACTTTGTACTTCTTCCAGAACTCTGCTTCTCTCTGCTGTGGGCTTTTACTCCATTCAAAGCCAGCAGTGAGTCTAGGAGAAGTATACTCAAAGTGCCACAAGTTAGAAAAGTTGCACGTGTAACGGCTTATAGTGTTGGGAGCAACATGAGGTTCTGTCTACTCTCTGCCAGCTGCCGTCTTAGCTTCAGCCTAACTAGATTACTGGCCACTAAGAATTCTGGGCTAAAAAATAACAGAGTATTTAAGAAATTAGACAGCTTAGAATGTTTAGAAGGAATGAGATTTTGACTTTGATAGTCATCTGGGACTGAAAAATAAGTTTCTAAAAAGTTCTGTTTAAAGGCTGATCGGTTTAGATGTAGTTGAAAATACATATACTGTAAGAGTGAGAAACAAAATAGTCAAGCCAGTTGAAGGGGAAAAATGTTCAACTTGAACTCACCTTTCAGTTTTGACTCATAGGGCATTGTTAAAAATGTACATCAAGGTGGCTAAACCTAACATAAAGCATTACATATTTCAAAATACTAGAACAGAAGATTTTGGGTGTTCTCACTACAGGAGTTTGATAGATATTTAAGGTATTGGATGCATTTTATTTTTGGCTGATTTGATCATTGCACAAGGTATCAGCATTACAGGTATGAAATATCAAATTGTACCCTATAGATATGTGCAACTATTGTATCAATTAAAAATAAAAGAAACATTTTGAAGAGCATAATTTATTAAAGTAATTTTTTTTCAATTTGAAAGGAACTTTTTCAAGAGGAGATATAGAATAAGAGAGACACAAAAGACACTTTAAAATCAGAACACAAAGAATAAAAGGAAGTTATATGAAGAAGAAAGTGAAAATCCTTCTTGCAAAAATTTTAACTTCCATTAAGTAGGATAAGTTATGTCTATCACCCAGACTTGCAGTCTTTGTCCATAGTGTTCTTTCCCTCCCTTTCCAAACTTGACAGGATAATAAGTGATAAATTAGTGCCATCTCTCACGTAAGTTTTATTTTTCTCTCTCCCCAAACCCCAAGTACTGGAGCTAAATATGAAGGCTACCAGAATCAGAGCAATTAACAGGAGTCAAGGAAGATGGGGGAGGGAGGAGAGAAAGGAATGGGGGAAGGGAGAGAGAGAGAGAGACTGGCAATTGTGGGGAGCAATCCGGACTAGACTAAGTTACTCGAATTAAGACTTATTCTATGCATCTGCTCTCCCACAATGTGGCGTTGGGAGAGAAGTAAACAGCTTCCGCACAGCTGCCTCCAGTTCAACTGATAGACTGTAGGACTTGCTCCTGATTGGAGGAGAGCAGCGTACTCGGCGTGTGGGCAGCCGAGTTGGGATTGGCGGAGAAGGACTATAAAGGAGGAGAGAGACGGCATGCACCAGGAACATCTATGGGGAACATCTAAGGGAACCCGTGCAGCCCCCCGAGAAAGCCGGCCGGCGGTGTGCCGCTCCCCTGCGGAAGTGGGGAATGCGGCCAGGGGGAACTGCCCTTCCACGGAGGTGGAAGGGATAGTAGCCAACCCGGGAAGAACCAGCAGCAAACCCGGGGAGGGCCGAGCAGACGAAAGAACAGCGCAGGGTCCTGTGTCGTTCCTCCACGAAGAGGGGGAGCGACATAATGGTGCCGTGACTCGGATAGGAAACCTAGCTCGGATAGGAAACCTAGGACGGATAGCAAACTTAGGAGGGAAGAAACGGGAAGAACTGGGAAAATATCGGAGAGAGAAACTAGCAAACAGCCTAGGGAAATTACCGGAGAGAGAGACTAGCAAACAGCCTAGGGAAAAGCCGGACGAAAAGGGTGCCGGAAGAAGCTATTGAAAGCCTAGGCATAGACTCGGATACGGACTACGGGGGGAAGCTGGGAGAAATCTCTAAGGTCGAAAGCGAAAGTGAAAGCTAGAACAAACAGATTCGGACGCGGACTGTGGGGAGAGGCCAGGAGAAATGAGGGAGGAATATCGTTGGAAGAAAACTTAGGGAAACATACCGGGTAGAGAAAAGTGTTAGGGAAATTGAAGCCGCGGGGGGCAGGCCAAGGCGGACACGAAAGCCACTTTGGGGTTCTCAAGTTAGCCCGGGAATAGGGGGCGAAAAGTTGAAACCAGAAGCTGAGACGCAAGCCAGATTGGGATCCGTCTGATTAGCCCGGGGAGCAAAGGACGGGAAGCCAAATCGTGGGGCGGAGACGTACGCTGGGTTGAATTCGCCAGGCTAGCCCGGGGAACTTGGATTGAATGCTAGTGGTGGAGACGCAAGCTACGCTGTGTTACTTGCGGAAGCCGCCGCGTGCAGAGAGAGCACGGGGCGTGAATAGATAGGGAACGCTGGCGTAGGCCGTGGTTCAGACGCAAAAGGGTTAAGCGTGGAGACCGCGGAGCGCGCAAAGCTGAGCCGAGCAAAGCCGGGAAGCTGCGCAGATGAGAGAGGCGCGCGGGCTGAAGCGGCGCAGAGCCGGGAACCCGCCGGCGGGGCGAGGTGCCGGAAAGCTGCGGGGATAAGAGAAACAGAAGTTTTAGAAGTAAAGTGAGAGAAATAGGAATGCTGGAAGATAGAAGTAAAATGGGAGAAATAGGAATGCCCGGAGATAGAGAAATAGAGAGAAATAAGGCCTCCCCTCAACATGCCAATTAGAAGGCTTGGATTCGGTCTGCCGGATTAGTGAGGCGATGAGTACCTGGGCGGCTAGCCGCAGGTCACCAAAGACAGGCACGAATTAACATCAGTAAAGCTTCCCCACAATGCAACAATTAGGAGGCTTGGATTCGGTCTGCCTGATTTAAGGTGGTAAGCGCCAGCAAAGCTCGACCAGAGTATGAGCTGCAGGTCACCGAAGATAGGCACAAACCAACACTAATAAGTCTCCCCCACAATACGGCAATGAGAAGGCTTGGATTCGGTTTGCCTGATAGGTTTTGTAAACACCTGCAGGCAGTTCTAGCAGAGCAGAGCATGCGCTGCAGGGCACCGAACACAGGCACGCATCAGCGCCAAAAAACCTCCTCACAATGGCGAAGAGAGGACCCGGATTTGGTTTTCCTGATTGATAGGACTTGTAAGAGCCTGTGGCAACTCTAGCAAGTAGAGCAGAGTGTGTGCCGCGGGACACCGAAGACAGGCGCGTGTCAACGCTAAAAAATAAAAAGAAAGGGGGATCTGTGGGGAGCAATCCGGACTAGACTAAGTTACTCGAATTAAGACTTATTCTATGCATCTGCTCTCCCACAATGTGGCGTTGGGAGAGAAGTAAACAGCTTCCGCACAGCTGCCTCCAGTTCAACTGATAGACTGTAGGACTTGCTCCTGATTGGAGGAGAGCAGCGTACTCGGCGTGTGGGCAGCCGAGTTGGGATTGGCGGAGAAGGACTATAAAGGAGGAGAGAGACGGCATGCACCAGGAACATCTATGGGGAACATCTAAGGGAACCCGTGCAGCCCCCGAGAAAGCCGGCCGGCGGTGTGCCGCTCCCCTGCGGAAGTGGGGAATGCGGCCAGGGGGAACTGCCCTTCCACGGAGGTGGAAGGGATAGTAGCCAACCCGGGAAGAACCAGCAGCAAACCCGGGGAGGGCCGAGCAGACGAAAGAACAGCGCAGGGTCCTGTGTCGTTCCTCCACGAAGAGGGGGAGCGACAGCAATGCAGCAAGCACTTAAAGGGTCTTGTCAGTACCAAAGCCATCCCCCTTAAGTTGCAGCTACTGCAGCCAACGATGTGAGAATAAACACATAATGTTCCTTACCCACTGGAAAA